CGTCGCCAGAGTCGGCTCCCTCATGCCGACCTGGGGGTACGGGCTGTGTCACCTCGCAGGGGACTCAGTCGACCCAGGGGCACACTGGTCGCAGCACCTGGGTGCGAGGGGGGGCCTGGGGGCTCATCAGAGTGGGGCTAGAACGTGCTGAGCCTCTTGCGGCAGAGGGTGGGAGCAGGGAAGAGCTGAGGGAGAGTGCGGCGAGATGCTAGGCTTGTGCACAGAGAGGGAGAGCTTAAACCATCCTGGCACCAACTCACAGGGGTGGAGTCTAGGATGCAGCCACCCCACAGAGCATAGGTGCTCAGAACACGCTACCAGCATCCCAGAGTGACCCAGAAGCCAAGATTCACAACTTGCTCCAGCAGCACTGCCAGTCTAGACTATCACATCAAACCAACCAGGATGGCACAGGGAGCTGAAGCAACCCAGAACATCATCATGGCAATGACCTGCCATGAAGCAAAACAGCCTGCTCCGAGAGCCTGCTCCCCACTCCACGCTGAGCCATAGCCCAGAAGGGCTCAGTGATGACCAAGGATGAAGCAAGAACCCTGGGAGAAGCTGCCCACTCCTCACTAAAGCAGAGTCATCCTAAAACATCTCCAACACAAAACAGAAAGGAAGCAAGCTGCCCTGCTCCCCAGGACAGCCAGGGCAGTTGGTGGGATTGTATGGGTGTGTGGGGCGTGGGTGGTCTGGCTGTGCTGGGACCAGCAGCGAGGCCTCCAGACATCACTCACCATGAGCATCTCACTGGTCAGGGAGTTGACGAGGTCCGAGACAGAGGAGCGTGGCTCAGTCTTGCGGTCAGACTCATCGTGCTGCGTCTGCCCAGGCACGGGGGCTGTGTTTACTGCCTTGCCACCGGCCGGTAACCTGGGGAAAGAGATGCAGCACCTTAGAGAGGGGCTGAGCACAGTTAGCGAGACAGTGAGGGTCTCCCCCAGGCACCTGGAGCCCAGCAGAGGCTTCGGCTCACACCCACCCAGCTGAGAGCTCTGAGCAGCCTTCACACGTCCGAGGAACCTCTATACCTTTGGCCTTCAGACTGCATCTCCCCAGCCGCTGCTGTTCGCTTTGCCAAAGGTGCGGCTGGGGGGCCCCCTGCCCGCCCCTGTGCCCAGTGTCCAGGGCACGCTGGCTGGGAGCTGCGACGGCACCCAACAACAGGTCCAGCACAACCCCAAACCAACCAGCTGGCTCACAGAGGTGTCCAGGGCACGCTGGCTGGGAGCTGCGACGGCACCCAACAACAGGTCCAGCACAACCCCAAACCAACCAGCTGGCTCACAGAGGAGCCGCTACAGCCTGCAAACCTCCATGCCAGCACAGCAGGTCCAACGCAGCCTATAACCATGTCCACTTCCTACCACCTCACCTCCCGGCAGCCGCATCACCCTTGGTGGTGCCATATTGCAGCTGCAGGGCTCTGCTGCTCTCACAGGTGACGCTGGGGGAAGCCACGGGGCTACCTTGACCCATTGGCTCTCCTTTGGCGGCCTGGCTGTGGCTCACCAACACACCGACCCTTTCCCATGCTCGGCTCTGGGCTGCATCCACCTATCCATCCCTGATCCTTGGGTGCTGCCTGCTGCAGCGGTGGCTCAATGCATGGCTAAAAACACTTCCCTGCTTCCTTCCTTGCTCCAAGGAAGAGGAGGGGAGACAAGGCTGTCTCCCCTTTCCCATGCATTTCAGCCCCCAGCATCGCCCAGCGTCACCCCACTGCTGGAGCCGGGTCTTGGGGCTGGCAGAGGCAGAGGGAGCTGGCCCCCCCTGCTCCCAGCCCCAGGGAGTGGGGACGGGAGCCCAGCAGCCCCGGCACTGCGGGAAGACTGTGTGCAATGTGCTGAGGGGGGGCGGGGAGCAGCCTGGCGGGAGAGGGGTTGGCAGAGAGGGGACACACACTGGCCCACGTAACAGAGCGGCGATGGAGACGAGCAGGCACACACCGGGGCCGTGCTCCCACAAGGCGTGGGGACGATGGGACACACAGGCACACACCAGCAGAGAGAGAGGCAGCGGAAAGCCCTCACGGGTTCCCATGGCAGAGACAGACCTAAACTCACCCCAGAGAGGACACGTGGTGCACGCAGACACAGCTGGCACGGACCACCTCCGCCCCCCCCACCCAATGCACAGATGCAGGAGAGCTGCCCACACTCACATGTGCACTCACTCCGGTACTCGGACAGCTGTAAGCTGACATTCCCGCACAAGCCAAGACACGGTGATAAGTCAACAGATAGGTGCACCAACAGGATCCATGCACCCCAAGTCATGGCATGGCAGAGCAATGCAGATGCACTGCTGGTGCAACACACACCGTACTGAGCATTGGGTACTGCCTCAGATCGACATGCACGCACACGGATCCAGACACACGGGACGCGCAGAGACTCCCACAGCGAGCTCGAGATGCGCAAAACACCTGCAGCCACGCACACGCTGGATGCGTGCACACGCGGGTGGAGATGCGCCAAAAACCTCAGCGCCATGGGGACAGCAGCACACGCAGAGCCCCCAAGATGCACACAGGCAGGGTGACCCACGCGGCGAGATGCTCGCAGGAGCCAGGCCCGGTGGCAATGCCCCCACACACGTGCACACGCACACACACCCACGCACACGCACGCACACAGCTTGCCCGCGCAGGCGGGATGGTGCACAGAGATAAAGAAGGAGACCGAGATAGCTGGAGAGGCAAAGTCAGGTTAGAAACAGAGTGAGAGCAAACGCGGAGGAGACGACGGTCAGCGGCGGGGACCGCTCGACGATTTGTCTGCGAAGCGGCCTGGGAAATGGCGCGTGTCGGCAGAGGTCATGGGACAGCGGGAGAGAGAGCAAGAAAGAGAGCAAGAGAGAGGAGGTGCCGTGTCTTCCACCGCAGGACCACCAGCCCGCTGCCTGCGGGGAGGGAAGGGAGGAAGGAGAGGAGCAGAGCGGACAGAAAGAAGTTAGTCGATGGAGGACAGACAGAACGAGGCGCGTGGCTGGAGCTGCCGGAGCCGGCGGGGCCGGGCTGCAAGGAAGAAGCAGAGACGTGGGGACAGAGGAGACATTTCACGGCAGAGCAGCACACGGTGACCAGGAGCGCCGGGCAGGGAGGCGAGAGCGCGAAGGATGCTGAAACCTGCCCCATGTCCTTGGAGCTCAGCCCACCCCTCCGCCACCAGCTGAATCCCACCTGCGTCCCGCCAGGCCGGAGGGGGACAGGGTGGCGGGGACCAGGGAGGGAGATGGAGGCATGAGGACAAGCTTTCACTGGGGAAGGTGGGAGAGGACACTGAGATGCTGAGGGTCCACATGGGGATGGGGTCTTTCAAACCAGAGATCAGGGCTGGCGGAGGAGAAGGAGAGTACGGCCTGGCTGCAGCCATCAGCCACCACCGTCCAGCCCCTGTCCCTCCCTGAGTGCCGGGGAGGTGCTGCGTGACCAGATATGGGCGCAGGGGAGGCCCGGCTGGGCTGGCAGACGGGACTCTGCGCCGCAGGCTCCCCGTGCTCCCAGCAGGGACAGGCTGTGCAATGTGACGCCAGGGAGGGAACTGCTAAAACATGGAGCAAAACGCAACCCGAGCAAAGGTAAAAATAGCCGGCGGGCGAGAACGGTGCCAGTTCATTAACACGCCAATCACGCGGCGAGCCCGCGACCGCCTGCTTCAC